ACATATTGTTATTTTTCCCTCAAACATGAAGGCATAAAACCTTGGCATTCTCACTGATAAACATTTTTTTTTTCTTCTTTAGACGGAGTCTTGCTTTGTCACCAGGCCGGAGTGCAGTGGTGTACTCTCAGCTCACTGCAACCTCCATCTCCCAGTTTCAAGCATTTCCCTGCCTCAGCCTCCCGAGTTGCTGGGACTACAGGTGCACACCACCACGCCCAGCTAATTTTTGTATTTTTACTGTAGAGATGGGGTTTCACCATGTTGGCCAGGATCGTCTCGAACCCCTGACCTCGTGATCCGCCCACCTCGGCCTCCCGAAGTGCTGGGATTATAGGCGTACGCCACCGTGCCTGGCCTGATTAACCTTTTTCTTCAATGTCTGTATCATGTCCTTTCTGTTCTTCAAAACACATTACTCATTTTCATTGCCATCATTCTAATCCATGCCTTCATCACATCACATTTGGGTTACTAAAATAAGCTTTTAGCTAGAAAAAGCTGAGGAAACACTGACTTAAGATTATATGTTATGTGGTGTGTTACTTAAGTCACGTCTCACATATTTTTAGTCTGTTTTACTTGCCTAATAAAAGAAAGCCCCTGAGAGCAAGGACCATATGAAGCTTTTGCATTGGTTATGGCATTCAGGCTGACAGGAAGCCATACATGGGTGTCACTCAATATGTGTGATTCATCAGTGACTGCAAAAATGGCAAAACTAAACTCATCTAATCCTTAAAGGGCTACGAAAATTAAAATGACTATGTAGAACACACAAAAGTCACACACGAGATGTTTGATGTGAGGCATGTTAGAGGCATTTTGTTGTTGTTTAGGGACAGATCTGACCCTGTCTCCCAGGCTGGAAATCAGTGGTACGATCAGAGCTCACTGCAGCCTCCCTCCTCAGCCTCCTGAGTAGCTAAGACTACAGGCATGTATCACCACACCCACCTAATCTTTTATTTCTTGTAGAGACAAGGTCTCCTTATGTTGCCCAGGCTGGTCTCGAGCTTCTGGGCTCCAGTGATCCTCCCACCTCGGCCTCCCAGAGTGCTGGGATTATGGACAAGTCACCATGCCTGGCTGGTGATCTTTCTACAATGTTTATGACTTCAAAAATGGTAAGACAACTGATCCCCATTATTCACAGGAGTTACAGACTACAAAGCTGAGGCAAACACTGAAACATTTTGCCACGCGGAAATACAAGGTTAGGTTCCCATGAGCCGCTGGTCACAAAAATCATACATAACCTTGTTTTATGTATTTACACTTAAAGACACCTTATTTAATATATATTGCTGATGGTTAACACTGAGCTCATGGCCCAGGCCCGAAGCCAGCTATTCTGACACATGCATTTTCCACAAGGCATGTTTTAGCCCTCCTGTGCTGAGGAACAGCACTTGTGCACTCTGCTTGGGGGCCACGTTAATTGGCAATGATTGTGCTTCAGATAAACCGCGTTGGCCACTGCACAAAGCCTGGGGGCCTTTTTAAACAGCAGAATTACTGTAGCATGAAGTAAACACGTGAACAGGATGCTTGTTTACAGGATGAGGCTGAAATGAAAAGGCAGGGTAAGTGTCACCTTGTTCCACTCCAGCTGGGGACATGTGTGTCAGGCAACATCGCTGTGTGTTCAAGGACCTTAAAAGTGGTTACAAATAAAGTTTGTCAGTGAAGCCAGTTTACAGATATGTAATCTGTGAATGAGATCAACTATACTTTATTGTGGATTAATAAAATTACTGATATTCAGGAGGAGCAGAAAAGCAAAGAATCTTTATGACACGGTAGACTTTGTTCAATTTTATTTAAGGGCTTGAAATTTGTATTTAAGGCAGCCGTAAGTTTTTATTCATTGCATTATACAACTCCAACAAGCCTGTCTGGCCACCCCCACGGTGCTTTGCATGTTCAGGATTTCACCCGAACTGATGAAACCCTCTCCCAAGTATTTTGTAGGTTCCCTGTGCTTTTTAGATGCACCTTCCCTTCTCGCTCCTTCTTACATCCAACAGAAACTTGCTAAACACCTTCTCCAGCCTGGGCATTGTAGCAGGTGTAGAAGATAAGTCCTTCTTGCGGTGCTTGCATTCTCTTGCAGCCTTGGACCTTGTGGGTGTTTAGTAAATGCCACCTCAACACAAGGGATACCACATATTTTACAGAATAAAATGGAACGGAAGCAGTCGCCCAGTTAATTGAGATTTCAACACAAATACTTGAGACAAGTTTTTACTGTTTTTAGTGTCCAATTGTTACCATTATGGACTCACTCATGTTGTATCATCCTCCATAATTTTTCTCATACATTTAAAATAAGGTCTTAAAAAGATATAAGATGCCGATAGGTGAGGCTTTAGGGGAGAAAATACCTAAAAATGATTGGGGCAGGGGGTGGTGGCGGTGAGGGAGGGCTGCGCCTAGGAGAGAGCTGTGTGGGAAACAGGGCTGATGAGAAATTCCTGGGGCGGGTACCCAAGAGTCGGACGCTCAATTTGAAGTTGTCACTTTTACGTAAACCAGACCTTCCAGCATGACACAGCTTTGCACAGTGATAGTATGGCATGAGGGTAGGTTAGTGAGGGAAGTACTGCCTGTTCTCCTGCCAGATCCCAGCACTCTGTCAGAGGCTGAGGGTTCTAGGAATTCCTGGTGAGTTAAGTAGCCTCGGTAAGGAACTGGCTCAGCAGGGCCTGGGGTAACGTTCATTAGAGATAACCTCAGCAGGAAGTGGGAGGGCCGACATCTGGGTCACATGCAGAATGTGGACAATGTGCACTACTTAATAAATGTTCATGCCTCTTCCCTCCCCCTTCCATGCCAAGATTAAAGACCAGAACACAATTATGTTTCTTGGTTGGGTTGGGAGCATGCACTGTTCATTCATTGTGTCAGGTCTTCTCCTCCTAAACTTGGGCCCTGCTTTGAGATACACTCCATGAAAGTACTTGCCTACTAGCCTGCCCTGCTTTTATTCCCTATCAGCGACAGGATTTGGATCCTCATATTATCCTTAGAATGAAAAGCAACAGGAGGACAATGGATCCAGGAGGCCTCTAACTGCACATGTGCTACCTCACCTCTAGGAGACAGGATGGAGAGGTACCTTCTTTTTAGCCCTTTAGACTTTATTGGCCTAGATATCTACTAGGTGAGGTCAGATGTGATCCTGGATTTTATAAAACTCAGACCTTGGTAACTGTGGTAAAAGCAACACAGCCAATTTTTAGCTGGGGAGGCAGGAGTGAGTCGGTGGAAGGGCTTGGTAAGCAAGGTAAAGAACAGAGACCAACCCCCACCACCCAACCACCCGTTAGAAAACACCGAGAAGACATTTGCCTGCCTTTCAAGCTTTGCCAAGGATACAGGGACTTATCACAATGAGTGAGTTCAGACCAGGAGTTCAAGACCAGCCTGGCCAACGCAGCGAAACCCCATCTCTAATAAAAATACAAAAAATTAGCTGTGCGGTGGTGCACACCTGTAATCCCAACAGGTCTTCCGATTAGTCACAATCCAGGAGACTAGAGCAACTGGTCTTTTCCTGGTCCCAAAGTGTGAACTTTCCAACCTGAAATTCTAAGTATTTTCCCCTGGCTCACAAATCTCGGAGGGGCAAATGCAAAACTGACTTCCTGTAGGTCTTGATAAATTCTTACAGAAGTACTGGAGGATGCTTTCCACACCCATGCTTCTAAATCTAGTTATTTTCTTTCAAAGTCTCCATCTCCCACCACTCCCTCCCCCGATTTCATTTCCCTTCTATTCCTTCTCAAGCAAGATGTACTGTCTTAAACAAATTATCTAACAACGGCATCTCACCTTTTCTCCCCAACTTAAGCATCTTTCAGGGCAGGTTCCTATCTTTTCTCCCTTCCACGGGGCCTAAGAGGTATTAAATACTAGCTTGATAACTGCTGCTATGGACTGAATGTGTCCCTTCAAAATTCATCTGTTGAAATCTTAACCCCCAAAGTGGTGGTGTTTGGAAGAAAGGCATTTGGGAGGTAACTGGGTCATGCGGGTAGAGCCCTCATGAATGGAATTAGTGAGATTATAAAAGGGACTACAGAGAGCTCTGTCGCTCTTTCTGTCATGTAAGGATATAAGAAGTCAGTAATCTACAACCCAGAAGAGGGCCCTCATTAGAACCTGACCAAAGAGGCACCTTGATCTTGGACCTCCGGTCTACAGAACTGAGAAATAAGTTTCTGTTGCTTATAGGCCATCAGTCTACAGTACTTTGTTATAGTGGCCTGAACTAAGACAATTGATTTTTTTTTTTTTTGAGACAGGGTCTTGCCCTGTTTCTTAGGATGGATGTTGTGGCCATCTCAGCTCACAGTGACCTCTGTCTCTCAGGTTCAAGCGATTCCGATGCCTCAGCCTCCCGAGTAGTTGGGATTAAAGGTGTGCACCACCACATCCAGCTAATTTTTTGTATTTTTATTAGAGATGGGGTTTCGCTGCATTGGCCAGGCTGGTCTTGAACTCCTGGTCTGAAGTGATAAGCCTGCCTCTGCCTCCCAAAGTGCTGGGATGACAGGTGTGAGCCACCGCACCTGGCCTTGACTTTCAATGAACACTCTCCACTTATAAAATTCTAGGTGTCACAGTTATCTAAAGGGAGGAAAACAGAGCATTTCCTAATCATAGAAAATTCTCCAGACTGTGACTTAAAGCTTTTAGCAGAATCTCAGAATTTCTAAAGACTGCAGGAAAGTGCCTAAGACAAGGCAGGATTACAAAAGCCATTGTCACTTTCTAGCCTACAGCAACACTGGGTAAGATAGAATATGACCTGCCTGAGTTTGAAAAATGGAACTTTAAGCATTGTATGTTCTCATATAATACATACTCAATATAATATCTGGCATTTAGAAGCTTGGCCACTGACTGATAAATGAATCATGCTAGAAAATATACATTTTTGATCTTTTAAAAACGCATTTTACAGTTAATAAGAGTTCAATAAAATAGAAAACGTGCATTAAGTGGTCTTTATTGATGTTTCACATTCAGTTATTTCTTATCACTTCTTCAGTTAATTGTACAAGTATGATAAATTATTTTCTATTTGCTGTGGGAATTTAAATGTAAAATAAATACAAAATACATCTGTGGTTTAATGAACACTCAATGAAGCATCTTTTCTGAGGTATTCCTTTCAGTCTGGTTTTATCCCAGATCTTTTTACTTCCCCTAGGAATAGTCTATTAAACCACACAATGGATCTGTGAACTTGTGGATCAAGGTCACTGTAAATCAGTGAACTTGTGTTTTAATTACATTAGACATACTTTTTGATCTCATCATACAACACCAATACAAAAGCACCACCCATGCCTCTCAACACATTGGACCAGGCACCTTTGAAGAAGGCCTTGGCTCCTTCATCTTTTGCAATCTTCCTCCAGCAGTCAACTGTCCCCGTGTACATAATATCAGCTGTGGAAACAAACGTTGGTGAGGGCTCCATAACGCTGGAGGAAAGAGACCTTTCCTCTGAAAGATATCTGCACACACTGTTACCAGCTGTATAAAATCAGGGTCATCTGGGCATGGAGTCCCAGCTCCATGCAACATTCCACTGGACATGTCCTTCCTTGCTTAACTGGCAGGCTGGGCCTCCTGTCATTCCTACTCCATTAGTTCAAGGTCAGTGAAGACCTGGGGCAATTAACCAAGTAATTCACAGACTGCCCGACTGTGAAACAAGAAGGGCGCAGAGCAGCAGGAGTATTACGCTACGTGGTTACCTTGTTTCATGGAGGACCAAACTGCGGCCTAGCGTCAGAGGATACTGCACAAGGCTATGCAGTTAAAATAAAAGGCTGTAACGAGTTGAAACATATGAAACTGCTAACATTGGACTGTCTTTGATTTTTAAAGTGGCAATTTCATATGGTTCACCCTATAGAAGCCAAAACTTTTTATGGCACAACAGATTGCTTCAGGCCATCTCTACCCAGCCAAACACCCCCTCCCACTAACACCTGTAAGTCGGAGGGAAGCGAGAGTTCTCCGTAAGCAGCAGCTACTTCTTCTCCCCAGCTGTTGCACCCAGGCTCATAGGGAAGAGGGCCTAGGGTCTCTACACGCTAGATACCTAGTTAAATTCACATCTAAGTATCTTTCTGTTGATGTTCTTACCATCTCTTTAGTAAAATGGAAAAAACTTTTCCCTAATAGGATAGTTGAGAATGTCAGGGGAAATTAATACAATCTTTCTTCCCTAAGTCCTTATCAAATAATTTTGAAAATTAATTTCCAGTCAGGAAGACTGAAAGGAACACTGTAAAACGTTCTCCTCGGGCAAAAATAAAGAGGTTTAGATGAGTAGAGCACCAGCTTACCCCCTTTCCGGCCGGACTGCATCATCATCCTACGACGAACAGTGTCGAAGGGGTAGGACACCAGCCCTGCGACTGCCGTCACACTCTGGGCAATCATCCAGCTCACAAAAATGTGCACGTTCTTGGGGTCAGGCAGCATCCCTGTGGACAGAGCCAAGAAGCCGAACGGCTATGAAGCGACTGTTCTCAGCAGAAAGCAGGTGGAGGGAGAGAGGCCACCGCACCTCCAGCTGCACGCTCTGACCTTGCGGGGAACCTGCCCCTGTGCAGGTGCCTCACGTATGAGCAGGCGGCCAGCAAAGGTGGCTGCTGCCGTCTCTGGACCCCGGGGAGCCAGTGCTCTGCTCATATGCAGGGCACTGGAAGTGGCTTCAAGTTAAACTCAGTAACTGCTATGGCTGTGTCTAGAGGGAGACAGGCTCCCCCTTCCTCCTCTCTTAATAACTAAAGGCCAGAGTGTATTTCAGTAGAGGACACGAAGAATGCTTTAGCTATTAATTTATGCACACCACCTCCTCATTCAGAAGCCTCAATTATCCCAGAGACTAGAAAAAAACAAGATGGATATATATCAAGTCCTTTGTGAGTTACAGATCCCATAGGATACTCTATCCACACCGCCCTCCTTCTCCCCTGATGCCCCTCTCTCACCCTTGGCAGTATCATAGACTCCGAAGTAGGCAGCTCTGTAGATAATGATGCCTTGGACAGAGACGTTGAAACCTTGGTAGAGACCCCTCAGGCCATCAGACTTGAAGATCTTGATGATACAGTCGCCCAGACCATGGAACTCACGCTGGGCGGCACCCTTGCCCACGTCGGCAGCCAACCTGGTCCTAGCAAAGTCCAGCGGGTAGACAAAGCAAAGGGAGGTGGCCCCAGCGGCCCCACCAGATGCCAGGTTACCAGCAAAGTAGCGCCAGAACTGCTTATGCCGATCCACACCCCCTAAGAAGAGCTGCTTGTACTTGTCCTTGAAGGCGAAGTTGAGAGCTTGGGTGGGGAAGTAACGGATCACGTTGGCCAGGTTACCCCTCCAGAAGGAGAGAAAGCCCTGCTCCTTGGGGATTCTCACCACACAATCAATGATCCCTTTGTACTGCTTCTCAGCACTGATCTGTTTGCTGGCATGCTGGACCTGGTGGAGGGGAGGGTGGGTGATAGAGGACAGGCAGGGCAGAGACAGGGGAAGAGGACAGGAGAAAAAAGAAGGTTTGCACTTCCTAGATTTTTTTTTTTTTTTTGAAGAAAAAAAGGATGAGGAAATCAAATGGATACTGAGGACATGTAAATGGATACTGTTATCCATGTTAGTTACTAGATAACAAGCCAAAATAATCCAATGTGGCTTCTATTATTAGGGTATTTGAGGGAAAAGGTGTTGCCCCAAATAAACTGAAGAGGTGACTGAATTGTATAAAGCTCGCCATTTATCTATTTCACTTTCCCTAGGTCTGAGAACTGTATGAGGGGCTTACTGGGGGACAGAATGAGTAACACTCCCTGCTTCAAAGGGCTTTGGATTTAATAGACATGATGGCCAAAAAATGTCAATTTCTCAGTGTCACTCTGATCACCCTGGAGATGAGGATCTCTAGTAGATGCTCTAATAGAGGAAGAAGAATAAATCCACTAAGCATTAGGGCTCCAAAGTTTTCAAGCAGACAATCCAAGTAATCAATTATTGAGGGTTCGCTGCCTTTGTGAGCAATTTGTGGGGGGTTTTGTTAGCAATTTTGACTCCCAAATTGGGCTCTTCCTCATTGAGGGGCCCTGACCTTTGGGGCAGGTGGAGAAAAACAGGAGGATGATGATAAGCCATTCAGCGACCAGGTAGGGGAGGAAAAGATTTGGAGACAGGATGATCTGAGTTTATTCCGAAAATTGTTTCTTAACATTTCAAAACCTCAGCTTCATCTGTAAAATGGAGAAGAAAAACTCTCTCACAGAGGTTACATAAAGATGAAGGCGTCAGCCTGCATACAGCACTGTGCGTGAGATACGATAAGGGAATTCCTGCGTGATGATTATTTTGGTGTTTTCATTGTAAAGGTGCGTGCGCATAAGACGGTGTCAAAAATACTGGCAATCACTAGGTGCCTCCAGGCCTGAGTGCACGCCCGTGCTGTCACGGGCGCAGGATCTGGCACACAGAAACCGGCTCCGGGTGGGTTTCCATATATAGACACCCGAACGCCGGGCGCCACCCGACACCAGGAATCTGCGACTGACGCTGGACCTGTCTCTACGCAGAGGGCACCTTCTTCCCCCACAAGCGGGCGGGCGCCCGGGCCTGTGGCCTGGCGCAGAT